GCTGGGTGGGCAGGCAGGTGAAGGCTGGGGGAGGTAGGCAGGTGAAGGCTGGGTGGGCAGGCAGGTGAAGGCTGGGGGAGGTAGGCAGGTGAGGGCTGGGGGGCAGGCAGGTGAGGGCTGGGGGGTAAGCAGGTGAAGACTGGGTGGTCAGGTAGGTGAGGGCTGGGCACCCACATTCTTCTTCTTGTCGGCCAGCAGCACCACTGTCTTTAGGCAGGTCTGCTTGTCTGTGGAGCCACAAGGGGCCAGTTCACCCAGCAGGGCATAGGAGTCATTGTGTTCACCCTGGGCAGTAGGGAGACAACATGGTGGCCAGAGGCAACAGGACCCTGCATTCTCCACCCTGGAGATCCAGAACCTCCAAAATTTTGGACCTCAAGGGCCCTGAACCTCAATGGTCCTGAACCCCAAAGACACAGAACCTCAAGGAACCTGAACCCTAGGAAAACTCTATCCAAAGAACCCTCACCCTGAGGACCCCACAGTGACTGGGGAAGAGCCAGCTATCCACAGAGACCCCTGCAGACAGGGCCGTGGCCAGCAGACTGCCTACCTTGGCCAGGACATAGTAGCAATCTCCGTGAAAGGTGAACTTTTTCCCGTCGAAGGTGGTGATGTGGGAGCCGCCCTCCAGGGCACAGGTCCCAGGGCATGGCAGGTCTTTGCACACCCAGCGGCCTGACTGACAGACACTGCGGAGAGTGGGGGACAGGTTACCCCAAGTCCTCTACCCCCCCAGTCCCTGCCCACCTGGGCGCAGCATACTCACCACTGCTCACACTCGTTGGTGACCTGCTGGCCGGGTTTGTACAGGTGTCCATGCAGCTTGCAGTGACATTCGCTCACCAAAATGCAGCCGCTGCCAGTAATGTCATCAAACACGGTGCCTGGGCGTCAAAGGGAGGGACGTCACCTGAGCCAGCACAGCCACCACAGACCCCTACCTATGAGCCACCAGGACCAGGCCTCGGTCAAAGGCCCACATCTCCGGGTCAGGGATGTGCAAAAGGTTCTGGAGTCCCAGTCTCAAGGCTGGGGCCAGGAGGAGTCTGTCCATGGAGGGATACTAGAAGGCCCCTGAAATACTACATGGGGGGCTTCTGCCACTCACCTCCCCAGGTGGACTTTGCCCTGACTTCACGATGACAGCGGGTGGGTGTTCTTCCTACCTGCAGGTCCTGTGAACACCTGCATCCACCCTCCCTCCCTCCCGCAGGCGCCCTCACTCCACCGCCCCGCTGCACCCGCCCCATGTCCCACGCACCTTCGGGGCAGAAGCAGCCGTCCATGTGATGCTCCTCACACAGGCTGCTCATCTCCAGGTGCGAGCAGGTGTCCACGCAGGGAGAGCCGCTCTCCAGGTACACCATGTTCCCAGGGCAGCTCTTAGCTACTCGGGCGGACAGAGGCGGTGAGCACACCCACGCTGGCACGCGTCAGGGAGGGCAGCGCCCCACGCCCCTGCCCCGGGCTGGGCGCACTTACGGCAGAAGGCGTCGCTCCTCCAGCTGCCTGGCCGGCCGCCGGCGTGAGAGCACTGGCGTGAGAACTCGGCCACCGTGCTGCAGACACAGGTGGCCTCGGCGCCCGCCGCGCAGCGACAGCGGTCCTCCTGACAGGCACGCACGTACAGCTCCAGCGGCACGCGCTCCCGGCAGTCCGCAAAGGCCTCAGCCATCAGCAGCCGCTCGCACTCGGCGCGCTGCGGGGACAGGTGTAGGGCGGCGTTAGGCCCTGCCTCTCTCCCCGCCCCGCCCCGGGCCGCCCACCCCAGCTGGGCTCCTGCGGAGGAACTCACGTGCTCCGCACAGGCGGCAGGGGCTACGGCCTCCTCCTCCGGGTCCTCGCACACCACCTCGGGCTTGTTGATCTTCTGCATGTTCCCGAACTCGGTGGGGCTGAAGACAACACCTAGGCAAGGCCAGAGGGGCCTGTGGTCAACGAGGAGGCCCGGGGCGCCCCCCACCCATCCTGTTGGGACCCAATGGCGGTCCTCACCATCGCTCAGGAACTCTGAGTAGGTCTGCAGGCCGTTGAAGTCACCACATAGGCCACACGTGTGGTTCCGGAACTTACTGTCCAGCTCCAGCTGGGGGTTGGGGAGGAAGGAGAGTGAGCTGTGGGCAGGTGGGCACCAAGGAGCAGGGGCCAGTGAGCAGCACTGTACACATGGTAAGTGGGCAACACGGGCCAGCACAGCCAGTCAAGGCCCCACTGTCCCCACAGCCCCTCCTTTGACAAGACGTGGGCTTCCAGTGTGGAGAAAGACAGAGGTCAACCACCAGCAAACACTTGGGGCCATCAGGGCCTAGGAGGGATCCTGAGACAAGCCCCCTACCCTGACCTTGGGAGTTTACTTAGTTCTCATCTGCCCCCGAACTACCCCCTGGCCCACTCTGAGGTCCACAAGGGAAGGGACTGGACCTCTAGCCCCAGGTCCTGCCCTGGACAGGGCTGCCCACCATGAGGGAGTCCTCGCGGTTCCACATGAGGGCGAGGCCGGTGCGGGAGTAGACCTTGGTGTAGGCATCGTTCTTCTCGATGAGCAGCCCTGAGCTGTAGTGCGGGGTGCTGACCCTAGACGAGGAGTGGGGGGAGCACCTCATCACTGGCTGGCCTGTGCCATCCCCAGAGCCCACCTCCCCGAGCACTCCTTCCTGGTCAGCTGCCTTTTCCCCTCCTCCCTACCAGACTCTTTCCCAGCTCTGGTCAGCCAGCTCTTGTCTGAGCCACAGGTCCAGCCTGCCCTCGGAGGAGGACATGGCAGTGGCCAGCAAGCAGGTCACCCTCAAGCACCGCCTCTGGGAGGAGGCCGGCCCTTCTCCACACACTGTTCCCCCATGATCTGTGCAGGGTCCCTCCTGGGGTCTTGGAGAGGGGGAGGCCTGGCCTGCTCACCGGTCCAGGCTTCCCTCAGAGCAACCCATAGCTGTCTTCTGGGCATGGAGGGGAGCGGGGAGCAGAATGCTTCTCTACCTCTGCTTGTCTGGCAGCCCCTAAGGCCCCTGTTGCTGGAGGTACCCTGCACACCTCCTGTCTTCACCCAGGTCATCAGCCCTCACCCCAGCCTCCACCCTGTGCCTGGCAGCCTGCGGACCAGCAGACAAGCTGAGCAGGGACAAAGGTAGACTCCCAGGTGGATTCCAGTGCAGGAAACAGAACCCACAGGCTGGGAGAGGCTAGGTCCCAGGTGGGGAAACCAGCCCAACAGGAAGGCATTAAGAGGCCCTTTGTACTGGAGACAATGGAGGAACAATGGTTATGATGAGGGGAGGGGGCTCCAGGCTCTCCCATGCCCCTTCTGTAACTTCATCTGGGATGCTTCAAGCCCAGTGACCAACATGGTCTCACCCTGGGACGAGGCCCTCACACCAGCCCCAGGGTGGCTGGAGGGGCGGGGGCACCTTTGTGAGAGCCCACCTCCCCATGGGGCTAAGGCCCGAAGTTGGTGCTTGCTGAGCCAATACTGATGGTGTGAGCTCAGACACCAAGCCGCTGGCTTCCCTGCTTTGTGGCCTCAGAGAATGGGGCTCAACTCTGTTCCGCGCCGCCAAACCCCCCCCCCACCCACCCCAAGCGGGCCGAGCAGCAGGAACTTTCACACTGCCCTCCATGCTGGGAACTCAGCCTCTCCCCAGCCCTGCTGCCACACTCACAGGGCCCCATTCACGACAGCCAGCTGCCGGGTCAGGTACACGGTGTCATCTTTGATGGTCAACAGGATGTACTCAATGTGGGGGTGGCCCCCACTGTCACCCACGCCACGCTTCAGGTGCACGGCGAACTCCTTGTAAGAGTCTCGGCAGTCAGAGGCGAAGTTGTAGTCACAGAGGCCGCGGAACTGGTAGATGTCACCGTCAAAGGTCTTGTAGTGACTGTCACCCCAAGTGCTGCAGACTGTGTGGCCGTGGTTGCGGGTCCTGCCCTCTGGGAGGCCGTGGACAATGGAGTCAGTGGCCATTGACCCCCTCCAGACTCCTAGCCAAGGAGGATGAGGCACCCCCAGTGTCCCCTGGCCTACTGGGCTCTGCGTGGACCCAGAGGAGAGATCCACAGCTTGTTGTCCTCATGGGAGGTGACTGCCCAGGTCTCTGCCCTAGACGATGCCTCACTGCCTTGCCCTTGAACCCCGAATTTGCATGGGAAGCATCTGGGCCCCTGTCTGCCTGGCCACCTGCTTCCCGCTGCTGGACATCCACTTTCTGTCCCTCAAATCTCACCAGTCACCTCATACGACCAAAGAACGACTGGGACCCTTCTAGACTCCTCTCCCTGCCCCACAACTCTGTCCTCTCTTCCCGCCGAGCTCCCTGCCCTGCACAGGGTCATCTTGGCAGGGACCCTCCCCACCCAGTGATCTGATGGGCTGCCTAGCTGAACCCTGGCAGCCTGGTGCTGTTCCCGCATCTGAGCAGTGAGCACCCTTGGAGAAGTGGGGGGGACACAGGGCCACCTTCTGTCCCTCCACTTTCAAAGTCAGCGGGGGGCTGCAAGGGCAAAGCCAGCATGAGCCATCCACGTGTCCTGGGGCCCACTGGACCACATAGACAGAGAACAAGACCCCTCGTGTTCAAATTCTGTGCTCTCACTGGATCCCAGTCCCAACCCCAGGCCACCCCCTTACCTCTCTGGAGCTCTGTGCCCCTGACCGAAGACAGGGCCAGGCAGATAGCCACCAGGTGGGCTAGAGACAGCCCCATGGTGGCTCGATGGGCAGTTTGGGAGAGCGTCTTGGGGCAGGGGTCTGGACCTTATATGTGGCCCAGGAGGCGGGGAGCATGAGGAGGGGCCAGAAGTGGGTGGGGCTTGAGCAGATTATCCAGAAAACAGCTGTGGGGTCCAGCCCCTAGAGGGGAAATATTGATTCAGGTTATCGGGGATTTATCTTTTTATTGCCCCTGAGTAAATACCCCAGTCCATCCCACACCCAAGTTTAACCTCCCGCCCTTCTCAACCCAGAGCCAGGGCTCGTGCCGGAAACACGTCCTGGTGGGCCCAGCCAGGCCCCCGCTTGGAGTCCAGCCCTGCATGGAGTCAGACCCCTGAGGGGCTTTTCTGGGTCCCCACATGATGTCCACATGTTCCCTCTGCTCCAGAGCCCCTGGCTGAGCAATATGGGCTAAAATTACCACAGCCCCCCTCATCAAACCCACCCCCACACAGCCCCTATTCATTCAGACCCACCTCCACATGGGCCCTCATTCATTCCGACCCACACGCACACACAGGCCCCCAAGCATTCAGACCCACACACATACAGGCCCTACATCCATTCAAACTCACCACGCACAGGCTCCCCATCCATCCAGCCCCCCCAAAAAGGGCCTCCCATCCACTCAGGCCCACCCCCACCCAGGCCCCATCCGCTCAGGTCCACTGCTGCTTGGGTCCTTGTCTTTTCAGGCCCACTGCTACACATGGACCCGCCCCTCCATTCAGGACCATCCTCACACAAGCCCCCCCATTCCTTTCAGACCCAGCCCACCCAGAGATCCCCCATATATTCAGGCCCACCTCCACACAGGCCCCTTGTCCATTCAGACCCACCCCCATATGGGCCCCATCTATTCAGGGCCCCCCATCCACTCAGGCCCACCCCCACACAGGTCAAGTTCTGCTCCCACCCTCACAGTTCCTGAGGCTGGGCTTCCCAGCTCTGTGTACACTAATCTCCCGCCCCCGGCAGAGCCTCTGGTATTACATGTAATTGGAACTCGGGTGTCCCAGACCAGCTGGGCCTTCTATGCAGTCACTGTTCTCAGGAGGAGTGGTGGGCACCAGGGAGGGTCCCACAGCCCTTGGAGCTCAGACACAGACCTGCTTCTTGCTGGCCAGTGGGAGGGCCAGAGCTGGGTCCAGTGGGGTCATGCCATCCTGACCACATGGGCAGGGGCATCCCACCCCAGAACCAGATCCTTGTGCCCTGACGGTTGCCAAGCCCCATACTGGGCATAGACTCAGGGCAGGGTGAGCATAAACCCCTCATGCCAGCATCCTACAGGGCTCTCCAGGGGCCTGTTCCCCTGCGGGGATCCCAAGTGCCTGGGGCTGAGCTAGGAGGAACTGGGATTAGGGAAACCAGAACCTGGACCTCTCAGGACCATTGTGGTATTTCCCGGTCCTGCTGTCACACCCTGGCACTGTGCCCAGGGACCCAAGGACCAGGCCCTCCAGCCCGGGCAGTGATTTTCCACACCAGTTCCTGCTGCTCTGCATGCTGACCCTTCTCTGGAGTCTTCAGCCTGCCGCAGGCCTGGGGGGCCACCAAGAATCACATCCAGCTCACACCTGGCCCAGTCTAGACAGCAGGACACGGAGGAGCAAGGCCTGGACATCTGAATCATAGCCCTGGGACCCCGGTCACTGAAGCACGGCTTCACAGATCCTGTGGTGTCCAGGCCTCAATGTGGATCAGCCGGCTGTCACCTCTCTGGTCCTGTGGTGACTGGACACTTGTGTGGGCCAGACCAGCACGAAGACAGGAGGCTGGGGTGCTGGCCGCTGAGTATACTCCAACCCGCAGACCCACATGGCAGCTGGGCATCTGTATGAGTTTTCCAAAGCCATGGCCTTCAGGAAGCAGGTCCTTACCCTTCCTTCAAGGAGCCTCTGGTAAATACCAGCCTCCAGCTTTTCCTAGTAGACAGTCTCGGTCAGCCCTAGGATGCAAAGGTGCAGGGGACTGCAGGACAGCAGGCTGTGGCCTTGGCTGCACGTCAGCTCAGGGGGGTGGCTGTGGTGGATGGTTGTCTCCAGCATCAGGGCTCAGGGGGTCCCCAGCACCCACATGGCTTTCGTGCAGACGCTGGAGTGCAGTGAGCATGGAGAGTGTGGTGGCACAGCTGGAATGTGATGGACATGAACCTCCCACTACCCAGCCACATGCTGGCACCAAGCGTCGGGGCTGGTGGCCTCCAGCTTCACAACCAACCAGGGCACATCTGGGACCAGGCAGACAGGGCAGGACAGCGTCACCAGGGGCGTCCTCGTGGCCAGCCTGGAGGTTATACCCATCCGAACCTCTGGCCCCATCTTTAGATCACTAGAATATCTGCTCATACACTTGCTCACCTCTCACAGGGGCGGGCACCACGTGGAAATGACACCTGTCCATCCCCCACCCAACCCCCTCTCTTGCTGGTGAAGAGAGGTCTAGGGTAAACTCAGTCAGGGTTTGTCCTGTCTCTTCTCATGACCCACAGAGTAAAGCCACACAGATGCGGCAGCTCAGGAGCCCACATGTAGGAAAGCTCTGTGTTCACTCACTGATCGATGCCTCGCAGTGAGCAATGGGAGCCTCAGGGGCTGGTAGAAATTGCAAGGGTGCCCCCTCGAGCAGGATTCAGGGTCCCAGCCACCCCTGAGCCTTCACTTGGCAAGCCTACACCCAGTGGTGTTTGCCCTGACAAGATACTGCCGCTTCGGCATGCCAGCATTTACGAGCTTGACCACAGGGAGGAGGTGGCAAAGACGTCACAGCGGGCCCCTAGGTGACTATCCCTCCACTGTGTGTCCACAGACTCTGACTCATCAGGAAATCAAGTAGATAACCCCAGGACCAGAGCCACGGGTGGGGGACAGGGACAGAGAAAGGAAAGGCTGATGGACTGGGTTCTGATTTATAAAACTTTATGCACAGACACCATCATGGTAGAGAGACTGAGACCAGTGATGAACAAGAGAGGAAGGAAAGGAGGATGGAGAGAAGGAAGGATAAAGAAGGGGAGGTGGGGGGAAGGATAGAAAGAGCAATGAGAGGGGAGAGACTGAGCGGACAGAGGAGAGAGAGGGGACAGAGGAGAAAGTGAAGGGGACAGAGGGGAGAGTGAGGAGGGGACAGAGGAGAGAGTGAGGAGGGAACAGAGGA